TTCCCAGAGAAAAATTCAGAGAAACCAGGGACTGCCCATAGGCATAGTAAACTGTTTAGCTTTTCGGTGTCAAATCGAATAAGGATCCCTCACCCTATTCTCTATCATATAATTAAAGTTTAAATAAATAATAATACAGTATTTTTTATAAATTAAATAGATGTGCATAATTAATTATGGATTGCTAATGGAGCCCGAACCGAAAATTATTCTCTGTTAATTTATTTTACGGTCTAAAAGCAGTATCTGATATATCCATTTTATAATTTAAATGCATGTATTGTTGTCTTACCTAACTACTGTTTGATTTGGGATTTGAGACATGATTGTATTACCTAATATATATTTATTTGTTTATGTGATTATGTTTGATTTAGTAATAGAGACTAAAAGAAAATAAGAAAGTGGTGTGATTAAATAAACAGATGGAACGATAGCCTTACTAGATATTCTGAGAGATGAACTTTGTCTCATACCGGACGGGGTATGGAGACTCGGTAATTTGACACTCATACCGGACAGGGTATGGGGACGACCCGCTTCACCCTCATACCGGACGGGGTATGGAGACGGCCCTATAATTGAGATTGTTAAAGGAAATGGTTCACGTATAATAATCCATATGAACCTCTATGGATACTAGTAGGCTGGTGAAAATAGAAACGATTATGATTTGGTCTATTGTTAATAGATATGAATTTATAGTATGTTCTATGTTGCTGATTGTTCATGAAGTTATAATCTGTATGGTATTATTGTCTCTATAGGTTGTTTTCATAAATTCCACTATGATAAGTGAGCGGTAAATGATTTTATTATTGACAAATGAAATTGCTAAATTTAGTGCTCCATTAGTTATTTTCAATGTTATACCAACTTTTGTTTCTGTGCTGGTGATATAGTATGATATCCTTACTGGGCTAGTGTAGCTCATCCTTTATTTAACTATTTCAGATCAAGAGGATCAGTTCCAGAGCCCGATCCGCAAGAAAATTGCGAGTAGATGCTAGATATTTTCTATTTTCCTATTGTTTCCTTATTTCTCGTATTTTTTTCAAAAAATAAATTTCATAATGTTATTCAGTACTTTTAAGTTATTATGTAAGGAATGTGAACCTTAACCTTTTATTTCACTTCCGCACTTAAGTTATTATATATTTTCTTTTAAATTTTCAGGGTCGTTATACAAATTATATGTGATCCCATAAGTGACATTGTCCAACCGGGATAAGATATTTACTTGTCTCTTTTGGAGGAAATTAATGAAAGTTGTGGGAACGAACTTATATTTCAGTTCTACATATCACTCACAAACTAATGGTCAAAATAGAAACAACTTAATTATGTTTGGAAATGTATCTCTACTGTATTACTTATCATTAACAAAAAATTTGGGCTAAATGACTACTTGTGCAAAATGATGGTATAATACTTCTCATCACATAATTTTGAAAATGACACACTTACAAGAACATTGCAGGTATGTTATTCCACACTTTTTAGATATTGTACTCTTGATTTAGCATCACCTTCAATAGAGATATTCTTGTCGAAAAGAGAATATGTCAATGGAACCATCAGACAATAACTCTTGAATGCACAATTAAAGATTAAACAATACTCATATATCTGTCGAAGTAGAGAAGCTCTGAAGTTCAAGATTTGGTGTTACTCAAACTTCAACCGTTCAAATAAGGGTTCATAAGACAAGGTGAAGGGTCTAGATTATTTTCTTACTGTTATGGTCCTTTGTAAGTTATACATAAGATTGGAATATTAGTATACGAGATTCAACTGTTTTAAACTCACGATTTCATTCCATTTTTCATGTGTCCCAACTTAGAAGATATGTCATTATCAAATAGGAAGGTACTTTGTTTTTCGTGAATAAATCACTAAAAAATTTCATGTGAAATTTCAATAATAAATTTTAAAATTTATCAAAATTAGTAAAAATTTAAATAGTATGAAATTTTATATAAATTATACTTTTTTTTTTATTTAACGAATTTTCGTTCTGAAAAATGTTTCAACAAGTAATGCGTTTAATAATCCCACACTCCCTACTCCTCCCTCCCTCCCGAAAATGTGAAGAAAAAACCCTTCCCCAAAACCCTATCGTCTCTCCAATTTTCTGAATCAATGGCTTCAACAATCTTCTCCACGATGTTGAACAACTCCTGTAACGTGAAACCTCGAACAGCAACGAACGCAATTATCTCACTGATACGAACATGCCACACGGGATCAGCCACGACGACGACGGAGAAATCTGCAAGTAGCAATCTCTTCTCAAGGTTAAATCCTATTAGCCACCCACACGACAGCGTGGTTCCAGTTCTTGACCAGTGGGTTCGAGAAGGGAAGAAGATCAAGTATCCCGAGCTGCAGCGCATCATCCGCGACCTCCGGTCCCGCAGGCGTTACAAGCACGCGCTTGAGGTGAGTCGGTGTACATTCTTTTCGGGGAGAGTTCCTGTTTGGTTGCTAGGAAATTGTGGGGATGGGAATAGAAAGTGTTGGAAAATGTGGTCGTTTGTCAAAGAATGAAAGTTCAGTTTGATTGAACTTGCAGTTGAATTGACATTGGAAAAAATTAGTGTTCTAAATCAATTCTATGTCTGATTCCTGAAAAAAGAGTGTGACCTATTATCAGTTATTTCCAGGATAGCAGAAAATTTGGAGCCTTGGCTAATTTGAAATCTACGTAAACTATCTGATGCTTTCATGGCGATCACTTGGCTGTCAAGTCGCGTAGCACGATGACAGATTTCTTTATCTAAGTAATGATTTCGCTCATGGAAAAATTTCGTCGAGAAGGGACTGAAGCATTGAGGCTATATAAATTTAAACCCAAAGGTTTAGGATCAAATATGTAATTTAACTGTGGAAATCTTTATTATTGAAGCTTATCAGGCGTATAGATGGAATATGCACAATTTTTCTCGTAATTTGTCAAGAAGAAAATGAGGACGAAATGAAAAAAGAAAAAATTGATTATAGGTGATTCTAGCAGGATGGATGCACCCTCTAAAACCCACCTAGAGTTTTGATCATGACAAGCTGCATATCTTAAGAATTAAATTCCCTTAAGCAGTTTGTCATGTCCCAGAGTTCCCAGTGTAGGTCTGAGACTCAACAATGGATGTGTTTCTACTTGTGTCATGGTTCTCAAGAACTTAGTGGGTGAACATTTTTTACTCTTATTGGGATCTTGATGTTGCAGGTTTCAGAGTGGATGGGTAGCAAGGAACTCCATTACTTTTCATTAAGTGATTGTGCTGTGCAATTGGAGCTGATTGGGAGAGTTCGGGGACTAGATTCTGCAGAGAGGTACTTTAGTAGTGTGACAAACCAAGATAATGCAGAGAAAGTCTGTGTCTTTGGTTCTCTTCTTAGCTGTTATGCCAGAGAAGGCTTAGTTGCCAAGTCTTTATCCCTTGTGCAGAAAATGAAAGAGATGGATTTCACTATCCCTACTCTCAACTACAATGATCTTATGTGCCTCTATAAACGTACCGGTGAACTTGACAAAGTGCCAGAAGTGCTCTTGGACATGAAGGACAAGGGTGTCTCCCCTGACAACTTCAGCTACAGAATTTGCATCAACTCATACGGGCTGAGGTCTGATTTTAACAGCATGGAGAAACTTCTGCATGAAATGGAATGCCAGCCTCACATCTCCATGGACTGGACTACTTATTCTATGGTGGCTAGCTTCTATGTAACGGGAGGTCTAAAAGAAAAAGCAGTTTTCTACTTAAACAAATGTGAAAAGAAAGTGTTTAAAGATGCACTGGGTTACAACCATCTGATTTCACTCTACGGAGGTCTTGGAAATAAAGAAGAGATGAAGAGGCTGTGGAAGCTTCAGAAGGTTGTGTGTAAGAAACAAATCAACAGGGACTTTATAAACATGATGGGTTCTTTGGTGAGGCTTGGGGAGCTTGAAGACGCCGAAGTGGTGCTTGAAGAATGGAACTCATCGTGCAAATTTTATGATTTCAGAGTCCCAAATGTGCTTTTGATTGGGTACTGTCAGAAAGGATGGGTTGAAAAGGCTGAAGAAGTGCTACGTGACATAATCAAGAAGCGCAAGACTGCCTCACCAGATAGTTGGGGGATTCTCGCTGCAGGGTTTGCCGATAAGCATAAGATGGAGAAGGCTTGTGAATGCTTCGAAGAAGCTCTGGCTGTACATGCAGAAAACAAAGGGTGGAGACCAAAACCTAGCTTGATGATCAAGATATTGAGTTGGCTTAATGACAATGGAGACCTTGAAGAATTGGAAGCTTTTGGCACCAAACTCCTGAAGACCAAGGTTCAAATAGATAGGCAAATATATCATTCTTTAATTAAGACATATATTAGATGTGGGAAAGAAGTAGATTTTCTGTTGGAAAGCATGAAAGCAGATGAAATAGATGAAGATGAGGAAACAAAGAGGATACTCGGGTCAAGATAGCCGAAGTTTCATTCAATCATTGGTTTCTTCGGATCAGTTTCGAAGTTCTTCTCCGAACATTGTTAATAAACCTCCGTATCGGTCTTCCGAATTATTTATAGACCGTGTTATGTTACGTAATAATTATATTATTAAAAATAAATTAGATGATTTAGAACTGAGAGATATTGTGGTTTGTATGTTAAGTTTGTATATTCTAAAATTAGGTAAAAAAATTTAAATGGAATATAGAGATCCCTGTATATATTTAATTGATTTTAATAATATAAAAATTCAGTTATTATTTAAATGAAATTAAAATAATTGTAGGTGTTCTCAGGCCCGATTGTGTCTTCTTCTTCTCCCTGAAAGTAGCTAGGCCCATTCGCAATTAAGCAGAACCCACCAGCAGTACTAAATAGCTCGCTCTGGGATCTTCCCTGTTCCCAATTGTAATCTCGGGAACAAACCGAAATGGGTAAAGATACAAATGGTTCTCTGCCGGAGAAGGGAAAACATGTAGAGGAAGAGAAGAAATCAAAGGGGAAAGGTGGAGACAATTCAGGCTCGGAATCTGAGGAAGATAGAAAAAACAGTAAAACCAAGAGGAAATCCCGGGGGAACTCCGATTCCGATTCGTCGTCCGAGTCTGAGTCCGAGGCTGGTGGAGAGCGGAGGGTCAGCAGCAGAAGGAAGAAAGAGAGGAGAAAATCTGATAGGAAGTCACGGAAGCGGTTCAGCAGCGACGATGAAGATTCGGATTCTACTTCAGCTTCGGAGTCGGAGTATTCGTCTGAGTATTCGGATTCGGAGGAGAGCGAGAGCGAAGAAGAGAGGAGGAGGAGGAAGAGGAAGCAGCGGAGGAGGAGAGAGCGGGATGAGGAGCGGGAGAGGGAGAGGGAGAGGAAGAGGAGGAGGAGAGAGAAGGAAAAGAAGAGCAGGAGGAGAGAAAGGGAGCAGGAGAGAGACAGGAAGAAGAAGAGGAAAGAGGAGAAGAAAAAGAAGAAAAAAGAGAAATTGGAGAGAGGGAAAAGAGGCGCCGTCACTAATTCTTGGGGAAAGTATGGGATCATCAGAGAAACTGACATGTGGTAATGATGCTCTGTTCTTCTTCTTCTTCTTCTTCTCGTTTAAATTTGTTGTTATCTATTCTGTTAATAATGTTTATTCAGTTTTCTTTCGATTGCTAGCTAATTCGTAGTTCTTACTTTTATATCAGATTATATGTACAATTAGAACACGATTTTTGGTATTTTAGTTAATTTTTAGCGCAGTCGAGACAGTACAAAGTAGAATTAGCTAGTAACTGGGTGGAAAATGATCCAGGCTGACCATAATAGTTTCTTTGCCATCTATTCTCTGGATATTGTCATCGAAGAGAGATTCTTTGCTTCATTCTTTTTCGTCACCTTCCAATGATTCTGTCTCCTTGTTGTTCTTCTCATGTTATTATCTATAACTTGCAGGAACAAACGACCAGAGTTCACAGCATGGTTAGCAGAAGTAAAGCAGGTATTTCTTGTGCTTTAATGTTTTTCTGTTCCTTTGCCCCTGACTCTAATATAATTGATCTGCCATACCCTGCCTCAAAAGATTTCACTTTCTTTCTGATAATATGGTTTTGTTGCATATGGTTTTTTGTTCGTCAGTTAGTTCTTATATTGTTATGCTGATTCGGAGGAAGTTCATTATACAAACATAGCTGATTTTCCGATAGCACACAAATTTACATCATCCTGCTACAAAGATTTTCGTTTTTCACGTTCATATGGCTGGCTGTGTTGCAAAACATGTTTATGTCAATTAGTTCTTATATTTCAATACTTGGAGGAAGTTGATTATATTGTATTTTGCTTTTTAATATGTCTTTAAAGGTGAACCTGGAAAGTCTGCCCAATTGGGAGGAAAAACAAATGTTCAAAGAGTAAGTAACTGTGTTCTTTTAAGATAACTATTGTAAGTAATTGTTGACTCTCTTTAAGATAACTACAATGTCTTTATAGTCTTTACTTCAGAGCAATCTTTTTTTTTTTTTGAAATAAACTTCAGAGCAATGCTATAAAGGGTGTCAAAACATTGTGCCCAATATCTTATAATGATTATTGTACAGGTTCATGGAGGATCACAACACTGCAACTTTCCCTTCCAAAAAGTAAGGCCTGTAGATTTATGTTAGATTGTTGGTTATTGGTTGTCTCAATACAGTGCTCAAAGAGGTACTGAACAACTGTGCAGGCATTTCTTGTGCATTGTGTATGCTCTACCGTGGAATTTACTGTTTTTCCTTTTGTTGGAGAAAGAAAAAATATAAGGTCTAATTAGATCTAGATCAACGAATGCCCAATTACCGCCCTTCTTTTTGGGAGGAGTTAAAGAAAAAATACTACAACGCCACATTGTTTTGTATATTCATTTCATTTGTGATTTAGCAATTCCAAAGTTTTTTTGTACTTTTCCATAACATAAATATTATTTGTAGCTTTTGGTGTGAGAAAAAAGCTTGTGATGTTGTAGTAGGCCTCCGAAACTGACAAATAAATGGATGGATGTGTGTTGCAGATATTATAACCTTGATGCTTATTACAAGCACAAAATGGAAAAGGAACAGAAAAAGGGTATCAAAAAGGTCTTGGAGACAGAGCGTACTGTATTTAATGATGAGGAACAACGTCGGTATGTCACAGTGGATTTTTCATTTATTTATTATGAAATTGAAATCTTGGAGTGAAATCCTGTTCCAGGTTAAGCATTTTGCTTTTTAATTTTACATAAATATAGCTACTATTATTCTAGTGTGTCGGTCTTAATCTCGAGGGTTTAGAGATAGTAGCTGCTAATGTTATTGAAGGTTTTTGTTTGACTATACTGAGCTTATATGTATAATTTTTGTATCCAAATTGTTCCTTTATTTTTCTTTTATGATATTACCTCTATTCTCTAAGAAGTTTGTTTATAATTATTTTGAAGTTCACCGCGCTTGATAAAAGCCCCAAGTCTATTCAAACCTCTATTCCTATTTCCTATTCAATTTTTAAATCTTAGTTATGATAGGTTGAAATTAGTCATAACATATATTTTTGCATAATTAATCAATTTCGTATATGTATCCAATTCTACAATGATAGATTTATATTTGGACTTGTAAAGGCATGGATTTGATTGAAACTAGCTTCTTTCATTCAAGTTTCTATCAATCTTTACTGTGTTCCTACTCCTATTCCACGAATTTGGAATTTGAACCAAACTCAACGTATGTCTATTTATTGTGTCTGCCTGTAGTTTCTAATTCTCATCATCTGGTTAGAGATACTTTTTATCAGTGTGGATCTCCCTTGATTTGAGGGTCATGATCAATTTCTTGAGCAAACGAATAATTGTTGTCTGATTCTAATGATTATGCAACATTAGAGATAAGTATCGGCTTGTCATAAAGCAGAAAACCGAATGAAGATGTATTGCTTGGAATTGCAAATAAATGTCCAAGTTGATATATTCGTATATATATATATATATATTATGATGTTCTATTTTATTTAATAAAAGAAATGCTAGTTCTTTTCCTTCTAACTTGAGGTGTCCATCCTTAGTTTCTTTAGTTTTTAATTCTCATCTATCTCCTTCAAGTTTTTGATAGGGAAGGTAAAAAGATAGTGTTTGTGGTTTGAACTGAAAAGGAAAAGAAAAAAGGGATAAAGAAGGTTAATAATCTATTGATTGGTCTCCGTTTGTAGGTATCTAGTACTTATAATAGATATAATTCATTTGTGGAATCTAAACATTTAACTTAACTGCATGTCTCTCCATCAAATCAAATTGCCAAAGGTGTGTGTGCATGAACTCATGCTAAACTTCGTGCCAGTCCTGAAATTTTAGATTTTGCCAGTAGAGTTGCCTCAAAATTTTATTTCTGAAACTGGTTGCTGGTTTTACTGTCCAGCAATGAAGTTGTGGGGGGTTTTCTAATTACTTTCGTTTGTCTTTCAGGTTAGAGCTGCAACAAGCACGTGAAAAGCACAAGGAAGAACAAGTGGAAGCTTTGAAGCAGTCTATGCAGGGTGGAATGGTAAGCTTTTGTCTTACCCCTCCGACTCTTGTTAATGTCTTTTCTTCCTTAGCCATGATTGCACCTCTTTAACTCTGTCAACATCGTAATATGTAGGCACAGGCAATGAGAGAGCAAGCTCAGCTGAGGGAAGAGATGGCGTACCAATACAAGCTTGGCAATTTCGAGGTTACTATATTGAAACTTCACTTGCTTTCTATTCTTCTTTGATATTATTATAACGAACAATTAGTCCTTAAAACTTGTTGATGTCGTCCTAATTTGATTATGTACGCACAGGCTGCAGCTGCTATTCAAAGAAGATTGGACCCAGATGTTGCCATGTGATACCAATGGCCATTTTTTTTTTAAAATCTACTACTCGATGCAGTTTATGTAGACATTGCCGAGTAATAAGCTGCATTTGGGTCTCTACTTGGCCAAGCATCAAACGAAATTCCCTACTTGTAGGATATCAAGAACAAGGCAGCTGGATTGATTTTAGGTTAAACTATTTTCTAGAATGCATTTTCATCTCCCATTTTTGCAGGTCTGTGGGAATACATTGCTTTAGTTGACATCAATATGCTTATTATCTATGCAATCACTGGAATTTTCACACACACAGTTAGATCGGATGCATTTTTTTCTTTAACTGGATTTGATTGCTGGACAGACAGGTAAATTATCCACCTTATATGGTGGAAAAATTGGCAGTTTTGCTGAATCACTGGCTTGAACGTTCCTTCACAGTAGAAGTTTCAGAAAAAAAGTAAAAGAAGAAA